ACTACTAGGAAGTCGGCCTGCTCTTCTGGCAGCGACCCTTCCCTCTAACAAATTCTATCTTCTTTACATTCTACCTTGTGTCTGGAAATTCTTCTCCAACCCGCGTTTGGACCACGACAAGAGAGACTCGAGTATGTGCAAATGTGGGGAGAAAGTTAATGGATTCAGGCTTAGAATATTAAGTTTTGTTGAAGGAGAGGAAACCTCAGAAGCCTGCATAGCAACCATTCTGCTTTAAGTATTTCTTTCATATCATGATCCCTCTGGAAACCGGGACAAGTCAGTCCTCATTCTCTGTGAAGATGGATAAGCAACTTACTTGTCTTTCTAAAAACATTTGTAGCTATTAAAGGTTATGTGATAAATCAACTGTTTTTTAGGTTTAATGATTAAACTGCCTTTTAAAATAAACACAAACCTCTACCTCACATCGTTAACACAAAACTTAGAGATAGACCACAGATGTAAATATAAAAGCTAAAGCCATAAGGCTTCTGAAGAAAATATAAGAGGATATCTTTACAACTTCAGGGTAGGCAAAGATTCTTAGAACACAGAAAGTACTGACCATAAAAGAAAACAATGACAAGCTGAACTTAATTGAAATTAAAAACTCCAGTTCATCAAAATATACCATTAAGAAAATGAGTGGGCAAGCCACACACTGAGAGAAAATATTCACAAGGTATATGTTTAACAAAGAACTGGTATCCGAAATATAGAGTTCTTACAAATCAGTAGGAAAAAAAAAGACAAAACCCAATTAAAAAAATGGGCAATCAGTAGCACTTCACAAAGGAAGATATATAATTAGCCAAGAAGCAAAGATAAACTGTTCCACCTCATTAGTCATAAGGGAAACTCAAACTAAAGCCACCAGGAGCTACCACTACACGCCCACTGAACTTCATACACTGATGACTGGAGTGTAAAATGGCAACTTGGAAAACCCCTTGGCAGTTTCTTACAGAGTTAAAACACACAACGGGGCTTCCTGGTGGCGCAGTGGTTGAGAGTCCGCCTGCCAATGCAGGGGACGCGGGTTCGTGCCCCGGTCCAGGAAGATCCCACATGCCGCGGAGAGGCTGGGCCCGTGAGCCATGGCCGCTGAGCCTGCGCGTCCAGAGCCTGTGCTCCGCAACGGGAGAGGATGCAACAGTGAGAGGCCCGCGTACCGCAAAAAAAACAAAAAAACAAAAAAAACACACACAACGACCAGGAATTCCACTGCTAGGTATTTATTCAAGAGAAATAAAAACAAATATCCACAAAGTCTTTTTTGCAAGAATGTTCAGAGCAGATTTATCCATAATAGCCCCCAAATGGAAATAACCCAAATGTCCATCATCTGGCAAATGAATAAACAGACTGTGGTATATTCATAAAACAAAACAATACTCAGCAATAAAAAGGTACAATCTATTGATACACTCCAAAACCATGAATGAATCTAAGACATTATGCTAAGTTAAAGAAACCCAATACAAAGGAATACATACAGTATAATTCTATTTATATGAAAAGGCAAAACTCACCTGTGGGGTCGGGGTGTCTGTGGAGGGGTATACTGGAAGAGGCACAAGGGAACTTTCTGGGGTTTTGGAAATGTTCTCTAAGGGTGTGGGTTACAAAGGTGCATGCATTGGTCATGTCAATGAACTGTACACATCATATCTGTGATTTTCACCATATGTAAATTATGCCTCAATTTAAAAAAGGAAAGCTTAAAAAGAAAGCAAAACAAACAGATCTCTAATACAAATACCTGAAATCAATATGCTTTTTTTTTTTTTTACTGGACCGAAGGAAACCTTTATAACTCCAAGGCAAAAACAAAACACACACTCAACTTTTAAAAGGTTAAACTGTGGAAACAGCACAGACCAAAACATCACTCAAACCACAAGCCAATCTTAAGTAAATCACCTAAGGTCTCTTAGCCTCAGTTTTCATCTATAAAACGGGAATAAAAAAATCTACCTCACCAAGACATAAAAATTAAGCTTATGCAAAGCACTGCAGAGAGGGGACTTCCTGGCAGTCCAATGGTTAAGACTCAGTCTGCACTTCCACTGCAGGGGGCGGGGTTTGATCCCTGGTCGGGGGACCAAGATCCCACATGCGGCGCCACGCGGGCAAAAATTTTTAAAAATAAAATTTAAAAAAAAGCATTGTAGAGAAAATGTTGCCTACTATTCCAGTTCTACAAGGATCAAGCCATTAGCCACTGTAGTCACCCACTGACTGTGGGCCTGAGGGGAATTCAGGACCGGGACAAACAGGAAGCAGTCTGTGCTTTGGATGCCTGCCCCAAGATAGTGAAGATACATATCCAAGGAAAAATTTCAGTGACCCCAGATTCTTGCATCTTCCCATACATAGAAAAGCACTAAAATCATCAACTTGAGACGCCTGTTCTTTGTGATTAATAGTCACCTTTTGATTTCGACCACAGGTTTTTTCACAGCAAAAAATTCATATATCCTGGCTCCTCCCTTATCTCTTCAGAATGGTTTCTCAGAGGTGTCTTCTGGGTTACCTTACACAGTAAGACACTGAATAAACTCAACTCACAGTTCTTACGTTGTTCGTTTTGGGTTTTTTCAAGTCAAGATATCTAGGGAATTCCCTGGCGGTCCAGTGGTTAGGACCCTGTGCTTTCACTGCCGAGGGTGCAGGTTTGACCCCTGGCCGGGGAACTAAGATCCCACAAGCCGTGGGATGCGGCCAAAAAAAAAAAAAAAGATATCTAGTATAGTCCCTGGAACACAGGACCTTAGTAAATGGTCATGGTAGGAAACAATTAGAAAATGTGTAAAAAAAGATCCACTTTACCTATACTTTCTAGCGGACTCTTTTTTGAATACCTATCTATACTCCTACACTTTTGTTTTCCTGAAAACTCTCCCCCTTTCTGATAAGTAACCCCATCCCAGCCAGATGGCTGGTGGGGTGAGGGGGTAAGGTGAGGAAGAGATGCCTTATTCTCTGGCTCCTTCATCTTAAAAACGTTCATGTTAATCAATGTTTTGGATAACCAAACTATATTTAAAGGTATGAGGGAAACTCACTACTTTTTTTAAAAAATGTTTAAATTGTTTTTGTGAAATGCAAAAGACTTATAAAGATGACCGGCAGGTTTCCCATATATTAGGTTTACCCCAAGTGGCATTCTTATTCACATTTGCTGGAAAGCTTTCTAATTATCTTTCAAAAAGCCATATATTTCCAAATGCTAAAACATGCATACCAGTAACTACTTTCCCCCAAAGAGCATGCTCAAGCCATAGACAGAGCATGTGAGTGCTCTCCTTTTATCACACCAATACTGTTTAGTTGGATTACAGCCAACAGCTGGGCTCAAAGTAGATTTATCTTTCCTGTAGATCATGCAGTCCATTTGCCTAATGCAGTGCCCTAGATTTTACAAATTACATTCACTGATGTACTTGCAAGTCTGCAGATTTAAACATTTTCAAGGACACAAGACATGTGTATAAAATTATCTGTCTTGATCATCAATAAAAGCACTATTTCGAGGCCACCCACTATCCTTCCGCTGTAATGTTAAATTTCTGTAAAGATTTCTTGGCTTTTAGCAAAATCAGGGTTGAGCCAATACGCAGATGTTCCATCTGCATTCACACCGCACAGTAAGAACCCACACATACCAAAGATCTGTTTGAAAGCTTTTAAGGCCAAATATTTCTATTGTGTGGCCTGTGATAGGCACAGACTAAAGGAAACTTGAAACTATAAATAGCACAGAGAACACCATGTGGGGCGGGGGCATGTTCTGCTTAAAATGACACAACAAACGAGTTCACAATTCGACATAATGTCCATATATATCAAAAAACTGAATTATGAACCGACTAAAAAACTATGATGACTAAGAAGAAAAGAATTTATTACCACCAAAAAGTTCTATATGCCATCTTACTATCACTTTTAAGGTGTTTCCTCATGATGCAGAGATATTCACTGCAAAAAGGCTCGGGTCTAAAACTCTCCATCATGATGTGACCAAAACCGAAATGCAGTGGAATCCGACTCAGTGCAGTCTTCGGGGGGCCAACAACCAACCTGGAGCTGGCACAGGGCAAGACTCCATCAGGTTTTCCTCACTGCCCCTGATAATCACTGCTCCCCATACAAATAAGATCTTAAAAGCTCCAACCTAAAGAAAAACCAGATTTGCCCCCTCCGGTGTCGGCTAAGAAGGTACAGGGATCATCTGTAAAGGGGCAGGAAAGCCAGTGGGTGTAAAATGGCTGCCCCGGGCAGATTGAAACGCAATAAATCACAAGCAAATCCCTTCCTAGAGTAAGGGCTTTACAACAAACGTGTGGGTAAAGAACCCCCAACCATTTCCACTCGGGATGTGAAGATGCGCAGGAGACTGGACAGCAAACCCGAGGCCAGATGCGGCCAGGGAGAATAGGCACGCGGGCCCGCAACCCGGGCCGACAACTGGGGGTAGCACGAGGTGCCGGTCACCGCCTCGACGTTTGTCGAAACCCGTCGAAACACAAAGCCCAGCGGGCGCTGCTAAGAAGAAAGGAAAGGAAAGCACGTGCTCCGCAGACCGGATCGGAGTTCTCTGACCACCGAGTGCACTTTCACGGGAAACCGCGGAGCTCCCCGCGGCCGAGCCGGCTCCCAGCTGAGAGCTTCCCGGCGCTCCCTGCTCTGGGCGCCCCCTGCCTTCCCGCACCCCCGAAACGCCCCGAACTCCCGGCCCTGATTGCACCCCTCGTCACAGGTTGGCTGAGCCCGGGGCATCGCTGACCCGCTCGCCCGGAGAATTAAGTTTCTAATAATATAACTTTAGGCGGATTAGTGTCGGCATCACCCAACCCCGAGGCCGCACCGGGAACCAACTAGGGGTCGTAAAAAGCGAGGCGGGGGCGCGGGCCGGGGTCCCAGCGAGGTGCGGGGCGCCCGCCCTCCTCCCTGGCAGGTGCGCCCCGGGGCTCGCCAAGGCCCGCCGCGCTCACCAGGTACCAGACGCCGAGCAGGATGGTGCCGGTGCGGACATGGCAGCACAGGCAGCAGCTGTTGGAGTAGAACCGCGTCCAGGGGGCCACCATCTTCATCGCTCGGGCCGCCGGCGCAGTGGCGCGAGCGCGCGCCCAACTTTCCAGGAGCTTCGGCCGCGTTGGTCCGGGCCCGCCGCGCAGCTACTGCCGGCTCCTCGGCCGCTCCCGCTCGCGCTCCCAGCCCCGCTCGCCGCCCGCCGGCCCTTGCTCCGCGCCTCCCCCGATAGCTCGGAGCGGCTGCCTCGGCCGGACCCAGCGCTCCGAAGGCTGCGGGAGAAGGAGGAGGAGCAGGAGGGGGCGGAGCGGCTCGCGGACCACGTGACGGGCGCCCGGGCCCCGTGATGTCACCGCGGGCTCCGGCCAGCGGCTGGCGCCGCCGGCCCATTGTGAATAGATAAATCATCTTGCACTCTCGGCCGGTCCCGGAGTCGGCCCCCAGTGGAGTTCCTCTTTCATTTGGTCATTTGTGTAACTCTGTCACGGATTCGAGATTCTTTTACAGTCTAGTTGGTTGTGGGGTTTTTTTCTCCTTCCACTTGTATCTTGCAGATAATCTGTAGGTGCCATCACTGTTATCTTGTAGAGTGGATGGAGGGGGCAAACGGTAGGGGTGATTCCAGCCAACTGCAGTGCTTTGAAACACTGCTGAAGCTGCCAAGAGCAATTTGTCTCTGCTTCCCAGCTCAATTACTGTGGTAGTAATCTTTCCGCAGAAAATAGGCTGTGTGTCAAGAACATCCTTGCTGTGCTTCAGGTAGCATTTTTAATCATAACTGCAGCTCTAAACAATCATCAAGCCAATTACTGCCACAGGGTCTCTGTAAGTGATTAAGGTAAGGAGTCCTGGGACAAAGAGAACGAGGCTTGGCTTTCTTGACGTAAGAGAAGCCATTTTTGGCCTAAGACATTTTGTGATCTAAGACTGACCACAGTGCTTGTCCTCAGCAATAATGATCTTAAGGGAACACAAGAACAAACTGTTATCAGGCAAGAGAAGTAACAATAGCAAAGATAAATCAGTTGTAGGACTTCCCTGGTGGCACAGTGGTTAAGAATCTGCCTGCCAATGCAGGGGACACAGGTTTGGGAAGATCCCACACGCTGCAGAGCAACTAAGCCCGTGCGCCACAACTACTGAGCCTGCGCTCTAGAGCCCGTGAGCCACAACTACTGGACCCACATGCCGCAACTACTGAAGCCCAGGCGCCTAGAGCCCATGCTCCACAAGAGAAGCCACCACACTGAGAAGCCTACACACTGCAACGAAGACTAGCCCCCGCTCGCTGCAACTAGAGAAAGCCTGCGCAGCAACAAAGACCCAACACAGCCAAAAATAAATAAATAAACAAATAAATAATTTCTTAAAAAAAGAAGATAAATCAGTTGTAAAGACTCCCAGTTCTGTTTCAAGGGTAAAGATTACCCTGAAGCACTTTCTTAAGCTGTTTCGCAGAATTTAAAACCCCCCTCGAGCACTTAACCACCCTCTAAGGGATGATGATGTCGACCTTTTCTGACCCTCAGGACTTCAATCAACTAAAGCTTGGACTCTGTGGTGGCCAAGCCGCTTCATGACTATGGATGTACCCTTAGCTTAAAATTTCCCCAATTTTGCTATTGAGAAGACACTGCTTTAGATTCCCCAGTGCTCTCCTTACTTGCTGCAAGTAATAAATCCTTCCTTTTCCTGATCTTTGTTTTGGTTGTGTCTTTCGGCTCCACACCCACCAAGAGGCGAACCCAGTTTTTTGGGGTAACATCTGCCAAGACCCAGCACAGAGTGTTAAGAGATAGTGAGAGATAGGACTCCAGTTTGGGGTTATTTCCTCCCATTTAGTGTTTGGTCTGGAAGGGCCCTTGTCCTAGGTTAGCCTCTAGTAATCACTGTGTAAGCCAAGCATCTCAGTTAAGCACTCAAGATTTTTTTTAAATAAATTATTTTATTTATTTATTTATTTGGGCTGCCTTGGGTCTATGTTGCTGTGCGCAGGCTTTTCTCTGGTTGGCAAGCGGGGGCTACTCTTTGTTGCAGTGTGAGGTCTTCTCATTGCGGTGGCTTCTCTTGTTGCAGAGCACGGGCTCTAGGCACACGGGCTTCAGTAGTTGTGGCACATGGACTCAGTAGTTGTGGCACGTGGGCTCAGTAGTTGTGTCTCGTGGGCTCTAGAGCACAGGCTCAGTAGTTGTGGCACACAGGCTTAGTTGCTCCACAGCACGTGGGATCTTCCCAGACCAGGGCTCGAACCCATATCCCCTTCATTGGCAAGCGGATTCTTAACCACTGTGCCACCAGGGAAGCCCCCCTGTAAGCTCTCTGAAATACAAGATTCCCTTGAATCAATGAGTCATTTGCCAAATGAATCTGCAATTCTGGTGGGGAAGGCGAAGTGGGAGGTAACTATGGGAACTTGCTGGGAGTTGGAACTTGGAATGTAGTATTCCCCATCCAGATTCTCTATTTCCATTCCTTCTCAAGCACTAATGCTTGTCTTAGAGCTGGTTTGAAGTGGCTATGAGCATGATTAAATATTAAGTGGAAGATCCCAAACAGAAAATTATCTCTAATGTGGAAGAAACCAGAACGTTGTAGTGAGAAAACAAAACAAAACAAAGAAAACGCTGAGATTTTCTTGTTTGGTATTTCTGATTAACTCCCACAATGATGTTGTTACTGGACTGAATTTTGGGTCAGCTTACCCACTGCTCGGCAAAGCCAATGTACCGACACTGGATGGTGGTGAAGGAAAGTACAGCATTTATTGGAGGCACTGAGCAAAGAGTATAGGCAGCTCATGTTCAAAAGTCCCAAACTCCTCAATGGCTTTCAGGGAAGGGTTTTTAAAGGCAACGTTTGGGATGAGGGGTGGAGGAAGCATGACCTTCTTCTGATTGGTTGGCGGTGAGGTAAGAGGGTGATGTTTCAAGAATATTAATCATCTGGGGTCTACTTAATAGCTATCCTCCACCTGTGGTTGGGAGGCGTGTCTTAGTTTCTGCATAACAACTCAAAGATTTGTGTCAGATTGTTATGGATATCCCTTGAGGGGGAACTGGGATTCTGTTTTACCACTGAACTATTATTACTTTTCTTGCTGAACTACTCTGCCCTTGTTTCTGCAGTCCCTCACTTCCCTAATTGGTAAGTGCTTGTGCCTGCTCTTTGGAACTCAGGGGAGGCCTAGGAGACTAAAACCTTTTTCTACAAACAAGAAACAGGGGGGACATGGAGGGGTTTTTGTACACGGGAGGGCCTCACAGGGTCCTACTCAGTTTCGATGTTCATTATTATTTCTGATTAAGGGCCCATGTCTGACATCTCTGGGGATGCCTCTGGGGTCCCTTGAGATCCATGTTTAAGCTACACAATAAGAATGTGACAGCTTTACAGGCTTGTAAAGCTAACTGCTCTTGCACTTAAACAGCCTTATCTTACATTCCTCTTCCTTCCTCTATAACCTGTCTTTAAGAAATTGAGATCCAACCAGTTTTTCTCTTGCTCCAAATCTGAAATGAAACTTTGACAATTACTCCATAATAATCTTAACTTGAGGGCTTCTCAAATCTCTTCTTTTCTACGACAAATTGTATTTCAATCCATCTGTTAGTTTGAGTGGTGAGTGTTTGTACAACATACAGACATAAAGGCTACAAACATTAGAACGTTCTGCTCCCAGCGCTATTGTCTAGCTTAGTGCACAAGTCACTGTGATGTTAGAAGCATGCCAAGTATCCTTACAGGTACAAACAAAATGCAATGGGAAAACGGAGGGATTGATTACATTAAAACTGTGGGGAGTTAGTGTTCTGGTTGGGCCTTGTAAAGGGTGAATAGAACGTAGACCAGGAAAGTTGAAGGAAGAGACACTTTTTAAAAATATATATATTTTATTGGAGTAGAGTTGATTTACAATGTTGTGTTAATGCCTGATGCACAGCAAAGCGAGTCAGTGATACTTATATATACATTCTTATATATACTTATATATACATTCTTATATATACTTATATATACATTTCCATTATGGTTCATCACAGGATATTGAATATAGTTCCCTGTGCTATACAGTAGGACCTTGTTGTTTATCCATTCTACATATGATAGTTTGCAAGAGACACTTGATCTGGAAGTTATATAGAGCCAGACAGTCCTTTGGGGGAGGCAAGTTCTCACCTGAACAACCTCCATGACCTCAGCAAGCAGCTGTCTCAGGAGAGACCTCAGTACCCCTCTTAAAGCTGAGAAATTCAAGGAGCTACTATTTAACTCTCCTGGAAAGGAAAAGGGGGGCTCGACACATTCCCTCAATGCGTTGGAAGGGGAATCCACATGCCTGTGCCAGAGGGAGCTGTGGAATGTCTTCTTCAATAAGGAAAGTACTGCTCTCCTAGGTGAGACCAAAGAAAACCTCATAGGTCTCCTCATGCACTCTCCACATAGCCCAGGGACCCATTCATTCATTCATTCACTCATTTCACGGGAGTACCTTCTTGGAGCTAAGCGTGGCTGCCACCTCAGAAAATGAAATAGTCTCTGTCTATAAGGAGCTCACCGTTTAATGAGGGAGACAGAAAAATAAATAGAAAAACATAATAGCAAGATAAGTGCTAAGATATGCGTAGCACGGAGCGCTATGAGAACCCCAGATCTCAGCTTTGGGAAGGTCAGGGAGGACTTCCCAGAGGTAATGACAGCTAAATTCAGAATTATAAGATAAGTTGGAGTTAGCCAGGGAGAGAGACAGAGGACCACCCTGGGCAGGATGGGAGCAGGATATGCAAGCGCCTAGTGGCTGGCGAGCTCCCAAGTTTAGAAGCAGCAAGTAGTGCAATAGCTGGGGCTTAACATTTGGAGGGAAAGGAGGAAGAGGAGGGATGGGGCTAAGGAAGTTTTAGGCGCGTCAATTTAGGTAGGGGAGGTAACAGAAGATGAAAAGCTTGTCATGCCATGTTCCACTGAGGTTTGGAGTATATTTCCTTAGGGAACTTCTGAACCACTGAGGGTTTCATAAATTTTAAACCCATTTGACTTGAAAAATTGATGTCACAAGCTTAAGGTACATACAAATGAGATAGGCAGGACCCTCTACCTAACTTGTGGGTCCAGTGCCTCTTGTTTAAAGGGAATTAAGAATTTCAAGATGGCAACAGTGGAACCTTAAACCAAGTGTGGGCCCTTTAAAGTGTGGGACCCTGTGCTACTGCCCGGGTCACACACCCATGAAGCTGGCCCTAGAGATAGGTCCCATATTTCTCTCAGAAATTAAAAACCAAAC